CTTGAGAGATTTTGAGGGGCTTTCAGGGGTCTTTGGACCACCCTTCAAGACACTGGTCTAGACATTATTGTAAGCCAAATATGGTAGCCTTAATATTAGCAACAACTTCACACTACCTACTACTACCTCTCTCTCTATTGTCCTACCCTGTTTTGACACATATGATGTGGTAGAGTACAAGTATGAGTGTCTAGGTATAAGGCTTTGTTGGGGATTTAGCTTATTTGCCCATATTTATTCATTTTAAACATGGGAATCAGCTGAGGTATGAGAGGATGGTGACCACTGTAAATGTGCTATTCAATATTTACAATGAGGTAGAAATAATATAAAAATTTAATATAAATAATATAAAATTTTAATATAACTATATTTATAAATATAACATATATAAATGTTTAATCAGTTTAATTTATGTGCTAATCCACTTTCTAAATCTTATAATGTGATCCGAAGGTTTTTTGATAGGAAAGTTGGTATATAGGTCACTGGCCTTATCTTCCAGTTCTGAAGTAGAAGCAGCCAATAAGTAATTGCCTGCTTCTGATGAAGACTGGATGTGTAGCAATGAAAGCTCAATAATTGTCTTGGCTTAGAACAGGGGTCTCAAACTTGCAACATCACGTGACGTATTGCAATGTATCACGACTTTTTTGCCATTGCCGGCAATGGGGTGGGCACGGCTTTGTTATGATCCATCCGGCCACAGGCCAGCAGTTTGACACCCCTGGCTTAGGAGGTCACTGATAGGAATAATATTTACTGATATCCTGTTATACCTTAGTAGTTGCTACTGCCAATGATAGGAATGTGAATCATGGAGAATCACCCTATTCTCGCAATCCTCCTTCCCTGAATTATGTGAGAACAGACGCACTATTTGGAAAAGGAATAGCACCCATGATTTGAAGAACGAGGTCTTCCAAGCAGTGCAAAAATATGGCTTTCATCATTCTGCAAATATAGCATCTTCTTATACAGGATATTATCTTATAAAAACAGGTCAAGCAAATGATCAATATTTGTCTTTCAATATTAAAATTAAACTACTGTGCATCATCATAGAAACAGAGTTGAACATTCAAGATTATTAAGTTTTGAGTTTGACAGAAGGATACAGTTGAACAGCTGTAGACTCTGCATGCCAATGGCTTGAAGGCATTATCAATGAAGAAGACAGATGATAAAAAGCTGATTCTGGAATTAATACAGGGAAACATTTGCATGTGCAGAAGTGAAAGACCCAATTAACAATGGGAGCACTGCAGAAAATTATGTTAATTTCAGCAGTCAGGAATAAGAAGTGTTTTACACTGATGTTTAAGTGTTGATGTACACTATACATACATATATTCTCACATGCAAGCATAACAAAAAAAACCTGTTGTTTCTTTTTTTCCCATAATGTTAGCTCTTCTAAGACATCGCAGAAGTTCTAACACTAATCCAAAATATCTCTTGCAGTAATCGAAATGTATAAGAAATGACTGGAAGAGATTTGTGTCTCTCTTTAAATATAACTGGATTATGAAATTTATTTGCAAACAATCTCTAAATCTGGAAGGATACTATATTCCCTGAAATAATAATTCTAAGAGCTAATGTGTTTTCAGGTATCTGTGTGCACGAATACACAGAAATAAGGAATAAAGCAGACTCTCAACAAATATTATTTTGTAATTTATTGGATCATAAGTCTCCGTTATAATAAAATCCTTGAGAGTCTACATAAGGCAACGACAGAGCCACAAAGAAACATCGTCATATTTGTCTTTGTACTGAAAGTGCTGTTTCAGTTTTGACTCTTCCTAACTTCTTTCCCATCCTCATTTTCTACAACACCCACTTTCTACAACAATAATAACATAGTTTTCCAAAGGAGCCCTCTTCTCTACTAAGTCTATTAAGTGTAGAGTCTAATTATCTATCGTAGCTGCACCTTTGAGAGCTAACAGCTAGGGCAAAACAGAAAATCTCCATGGCATTAAAGCATTATTAGTGTATTGCCTGGAGTACTAAAACATGAATGCAATGTAGCACTAACACCAGTGCTTCTCTCCAGAATTTCAATTAGCCTTAAACGAAAGTGTCATAATAGTGTCACTCGCTCTATGCAACACACCTGTTCACATCTGCCTTCCTATTTAGAAAATCAATCTTACTCCAATGCTACCATGTTTCTATTGAGGCTGAGATATAAAACCGGAAATTTGGATTATAGCACTTCAGAATGCAGGTGAATTCTAACCTATCAACATGTCAATACTGGTGATCCACTGGCAAAAATATGCAAAATAACTATGTAGTACAGGGCTAAAACTAAGTGGATTAGGTCAGTTACTGCCTGAGTAACAGACAACTGTTCTGCAACATGTTTACTGGACAACTGAACTTTCTCACAAACTCGTTTTGGCTTCCTGATCAACTATATTATACAACAGGAATGTATCTTGTATATAATAACTCCCATGATTGGACTTGTATTTTAATTTTTGCATAGAGAAAAAATAAACACACATACAAAACCAAACAATATCATTTTAGGAGGCTTATTATGCAAAAATATCACATCAGAGGATTAATCAGGAACTACTATACTTGCATAGGGTAGGGAAAGTATAATTTAAAAACCTGGATAAAGGAATTCCTTCAGACTTGTCACAGGAGCTGTCCATCTTAGTTGCTTACAAAAGAAAAATGTGGGTGTCATCATAACGGAGTGTCAAAAGAAAAAATGAATGACTTTGGCTCTGCCCATTACAACTTCAATCCCAGCACTATGGTTAATCCAAAAGATTATTTTTGATAAAATTAAATATCACCAACAAATATGCCCAGCCCTAATGGAAGATTAGCCACCATTTAGAATACTAATAATTTCAGTATCTGTCTTTATTTTTTAATTTTTTTAAAATAAGTCATTACTCGCTTTATATTGAATAGCAGCTTTTAAAAATATTTTATTAACCTTCTTTCAAGTCAGTTAAAAATGTTTATAAATTCAGACTGAATAACTATTTCTGAAAAAATGTTTTCTGTCCTTTTTGGATGTACATAAACATATAAAACATTAACAGGCACCAAGCTAAGACAAACCATTCTCAATTTAGAATGGTTGGCTTTTTTTCTAATTGTCTTATAGATTTCCCTTAATACATCATGTCTACACATAAAAAGTATGGCAGAGTGTGCACTGATAACTTCTTTGCAACCACAGCAGCTTAGCTGCCAAATGCTGTGTCTGTGACCATCATGACAAGTAATTATCTGAAAATCAAACAACTGGATATAATTCAAAGCAAACTCAACATTCAATTATAAAATTTAACCTCGCCACTTAATCAAGACACTCTGTAACTAACTCTAGCTAGCTATCATCCCAACTCATAAGCTTGATGACTCGGTTAGACATACTGTGTAACAGATGTCCAACATACAGCTATGAGCCTTAATCATAAATATGAAGTTTTTGTTTGGCATGAAATAACACAGAGAACTTTGCCAGTTTCAAGCAAAAAGCTTGCTGCTGTTAGGGAAGAAAAAGTACTCTTAAAACATGACCTATCTACAGTTTATTGAGGAAAGATTCAAAGAACCACCACTAATTTGCTGTCAATGATTCATTATGCTCATTCACTAAGTATCTAGTGACATGGAAAGATAATGAAGCACAAGACTTCATATTTTTCAGACTGATCTCCTATTTTGTATATTGTTTTAAACAATATATAGTATCTATAGAGCAAAAAAAAGTACATACTAGAATAATTTTTAATTATTTTTTTATAAAAAAGATACATTAAAATATATCTTCACTGCAACAAGAAAGTATAGCATTACTGGTGGCTCATGCTACTTATATATGTTCTGCTACTTATATATATATTAAGTGTTCCATGATATCCATTATTTTAGTCTTATTTTCTGTTACTTTACAGATGCATAAAAATGTTGCTTGGCTTCTATTATGTATAAAGTCTATTTTTAAGAATAAATTTGGGCCTTCTGTACTATGTGTTTTTGCTCTTCTCTTGCTTGCTGATCTTGGTGGGGCAGTCTACAAGAGTTCCCAAATAGTTTACTTATGGCACCTGGGATCTTCTTTGGGCTGGCTGGTTTGGCTGATGAAAAAGAAAGCTGGGTCACATTAACTCTGGTTCCACGTTGCTTTTACAATCTAAGATCACCTTTAGTTCACACTACAGGACAATAATGCTGCTCATGGCTAGACTGGTCCAGCAAGGTCTACTTCAACCAAGCAAGGAAAAAGAACAACAAAAAGTACATTACATAGACATCAGGTATGGGAATAAGAAGAATCAACCAATTCCCACAGACTCAAGGTCTTTTAGTTTATGAATTCATGTGCTATGGTTTTATTCAAGAAAGGCATCCCATGAAATAAGTCAAAATATTTTTGTTACACAGAAAGCTTCTACTGAAAACTTGAAAACAGTAAATTAAACTGTTAAAGAACTGATATGAATAAAGATATAGTATGCTATTAATTAGATATTCATCTGGATGGTAGAATGTAGATGAGTCTGCCTTCTTAAACATAAAGCAATAAATAAGATATAGACACGCATGTTGTAGGAAAAGGCAATGGCAATATTTCGTATGTTTATTTTAGTGTTTAGAAAGATGATGTTAGAGCAACCTCATAAATAACAACCAAGACGACTATTAGTGTTTTAATGTGGTTTACTCCCAGTAAACAAGTTATTATAGTTCAAATATAAATCTTAAGGAATGGGGCAATGGTTACTAGTGCCAAGAAACTTTTACAGGAAAGAGGAAAATAATATAATTAGAACATTTTGTTTAAAACAGGATTTTAAAAATACTACTTCGGTGTTTTGAAAGCATGTCGCTGATGACGATTACAAGATTGACTACTGATTAAATAAGAGATTGTGGAACACAGAGATCTATAGCTTTTGCTATCTGGGACTGCTAGGATGAAGGACATTTCACCTTTATAGCACCAGATTCCTGCTTTGATAAATGAGGGGTTTTTTTTTTCAGATTGCTAGGTACGATAGAATAACCCAAACTGTTAATTTCTACACACACTGAAATTCAGTGGGAGAGAGCATAGGAAAAGGCGTGGTTTAGGACCCAGAAAGCCTCGTCAGGCGGTACTTGTGCAGATCACTGGGAGACTCTAAAAGGGTCCAGTTTTAATTCTGCCTCTAATCTCTGCAAGAGCCGCGCTTCTCTCGCCGGCTCAAGGTTGGGTTGATCCTCACCGTGGCTCTGGATTTTCGCTCGCTGTTCCCGCCAGAAACTATGTCGCCGGTTCCTTTGCCATGGAAGCCGTACGAGAAAAAGTGATTTCCGATGCTCGAGCCTGAGATCGCGGCATAAAGGACGGGGGTACAAAAATGAAGACGTTGATGGTAAGTCAGCGGATCCCGGATCGCCGCGAGGACTTGAAACGAGGCCATGAGATTCGGCGTGGGAATTGTTCTCGGGTGTTCTCGGATAGGATCTCGGGCAGGCTGGATTTGTAATTTCAGCCGGGGCTTTGGTGTGCTGTCGATGGGCATTTTGTAAAACCCGCAGGAAGAGGCGAATAACTTTCCGCTGCTTGCCTTTCTTTGGGAAGCGGTGGCAGCGTCGGGATCGAGGGGTTGGCGGGGGAGAGGAGTCCAGCTTGAAATGCAGGGATGTGGGTCTCCCTCAGTAAATCCTAAGAGTGGCGAGGATAAGATTTTGGTACTTTGGAGCAGCAGTCTCTCACCTAGCATTTTTAAGGCTCTCTCTCTATATTTGCCTATATTCACGCCTTAATTTTGGAGAGAGAAAGAGGGTTGCAAATCTATAGATTCAAAACGCAAGCCAAATTGAGAGGTCGGCGGGGATGCCAAAGGAAAGGTAGGCGAGCCCGAGAGGGGTGTGGATAAGAAAAAGGGCTAAAGAAGCGGCGGAACTAGGAGGAGAGCGGGCAACGCGTTGCAACCTCCAAGTGCACTTTCCGCGTTTTGCTTTGGAACTTGCAAAAGGCTGAGCGTAGGCGCGCGGGGTCTTTCCGTCCCTCAGGCAAGAATTGCAAACGAAGGCGATGGGGCAACCTTCTTCCCCGCGCCTCCTCAGCTCCCCTTTATTCCGAATTGATCAGAAAAACAATTTTAAAAAAACCCTTCAGCCCTTCCAGAAGGAAGTCCAAACTTCCACAGCCTGAGAGCCGGCTTCACCAAGGGGCGTGCGTCAGGCTATGCGCGCTCCTTCGGCAGCCTGACGGAGAATAGATAAGGGGGGGGGAGAGAGAGAGACAGAGAGAACAGGCACCCTCGCGGACAATTCAGCCAAGCCGACAATTCAGCCAAGCCGGCCAAGAGCCCGTCCGGGTGTTTGCGGCATTGCCTAACTGCGGGGAGGGGGCAAAACCGGCGGGAAATCCGAGGCAGGCAGGCGCCGCTGCGAGTCGCGCGAAGGAGAGCCGCGGGGAGGGAGGCTGCGGAGGTCGCGGAAGCTCCGCGGGAGATCCCGGCGGCCGAGCAGCGTTGCCTTTGCCGCCGCAATCCCGCTATGCTGGTTGAGGTCCAGCGCTTTTTCCTCGCTGCCTTTGCCTCTTGCCAGCTCAGCCCTGACCCGAGCTGTGTCCAGCGGGTTCTCAGCCTCTGCTTGCCCCTCCCTCCCTACAGCGCCATGGGTTGGCTGTGTCTTTAGCGCTCACCACCATGTGCACGAGCGTGCTGCTTATGTACGGCAGCATCGGGAGCGGAGGCGGCGGCGGCAGCAGCGCTGGCAATGACGGTACCGGCGGCAGAAGGGCCTTGAAAGAGCAAGTCCAGCAGCAGCAGAAGCAGCAACAGGTGGCGGCGATCACCCCCTTTCAGAAGCCGGAGAGCCAGCGGCGCTTGGGCACTGCCTCCCCGCCACCCTTTCCCGGCCTCGCCGACCGTCCTTTGGAAGGCTACATCAGCGTCCTGGATCACAAGGTGAGCGCAAAGAAGCGGTCTGCCGCGGAGGGAGGTGCCAGGCGGGTGATTGACGTTTGAGATTGAGCTCCTCTTTGCTTCCCGCTTTAAGGAGCGAAATCGAAGGGGTTTTTTGGGGGGGGGGAGGGAAGGAAAATTGCAAAGGAGACCAAAAGGTCAGAAAGGAAAGACGGTAGGCACTCTGCTCTTTGTAGCGTGGCAATCGGGAGTGGAGGTTTCAAATGCACCGTGGTCTTTTTCTGACATGTTGACAGCTAAAGAGAAGTAAGGCTGTGGGATGTTTTTGAACGGTTCCTCTGTATTCTGGATAATTGCAATCTATAAGAATAATGTTGGTTTCAACAGCAGGCTTGAGAGACTCTAAAGAGCAAGCACATCTCTCCCACAGGTTGTTGCAGTTGTTTAATTTGGTAGCCATGCTAGACTGGTTTTGAGCTAATTGACAAATAGTTTACAGCATGTTCTATTTCTTTGGAAATATTTGCCCTGCTCTCAAAGGTCAAGCAGATCTTAAATTATCAAAACTCATAAATTGCTTTGATCATTCTGCTTTGCTGGAGCAGTTCTATAAAAAGAGGGCAATTTTTAAAGAGGACATCTTACTTTTAAACATCATTTATGAGCCAAAATAGAAAGTTTCTGCTACTTGGAACATCTGTGATACGGATTTTTGTTTTATTCTTTGATAGATTTAACACTGTCAGCATTCAAGACATTAAAGAAAAAAAATAATTTACAATTACGTGTCTGTTTAAAAAATAAATTGTACATTGGACTGATTAAGAAGCCAGGGTGAGTGAGTATGTGGAATAGTTTTCTGTGTATTATTCCTAAAATAGTCATAGTGAAAAAAAAACCAAAAAATGGAGACCTAGTCTAGTTCAGAAAACTTTTAAGATACAATTTTTATGTATTTTACTTCATTTTGAAGAGTTCAGAAACATGTTCTGTTAGTGCAGTAAGTGATGCTAAAAAGGCTTTTTTTTACAATTTATATCCTCTCTGCCCTCAAATAATTTTAAAATTTCAAAATAAAGAATAATAAAACCTACATACATTCATTACATTAATGTATCTCTTGAAAGTAGCTATATCCTAGTTCTAAGGCTCAGCAGGAACCCTGAATGATACAGCTGCTTTTTTTTTAAGTACCAGGTTCATGCTGTCTTCTTTCTATATCGCCTCTTCTGAATCATTTTAGAAAACTGCATAACCAAATTATTTGCCCTGCTAAAGAGTTCAGAAAGAGGAGTTTAACCGCTTGTATGCCATTGCCAGAAAAACTTCCCCATGCTTCTCCCTTCTGTCATTCCTCCTGTGTTCATAGTAAGCCCAACCAGTATGGAATTCCCAACCAGTAAGAACTGCTTATTCCAGTGTTTGTGGAGTGTAGCATCAATACCTTTCTGCAAGCAGTGCTTTTTTTATGGATTAGTGTTTTCTTAGCGCATTCATTTGCAGTTAATGTATTGTTTTAATCTTTGCTACAGAGGTGGAATGTTTTCTGCTTAGAGTTGGCTACAGTTGAAAGAACCATGTATGCCTAAGAATTAAAGCTAAGTAATAGTCTCCAGGGGTCAACTAGACATAAGGGCATCTTTTATTATTATTATTATTATTATTATTATTATTATTATTATTACCTACAGTATTATACCTATGGTCAACCTAAGGATTTTTATGTAATTTCTAATGATCAGTAAATGTTGCCCATGGAATAGTAATGCTAATTTAAATAGTTATGTTTGTGACTTTAACTAGTGTTATTACTTCTTGATACAATGTTCTGAGGTTGAGTTATCTTTTGATTAGTTTTGTTTCTCTTCCTGTGGCAGAATGAAGCTTTAATTATTTATTTCCTGTCATTCTATCTTTTCTTTTTTAAAATGACAAAATAGTATTTTTTTAAAAAAACGACAACAACCCAATAGCAACCAAAAGCAAGAAAATCTGTAACTCGGACTATTCTCCATTTCAGAAAAAAAAAAATTGTCTTAACTTCATTTTGCTCCTTTAGAGAGTTTGGTGAGTAAATAAAACGTTTGCTGTCACTAATTCTACCCTCAATCTCAGCCCAAATCAATAGGAACAATATGATTGGTAGAAACTACAAAAAAGTTCATTTAATCAAAGAGTACCTAAAAGTATTTATGTTAGAACTCATCCTGTAGATTTTGTCAATAAATCAAATAACATGGGAGAAATTCTCAGAAAATATTGGAATTAAATGACACCAATCACGAAAGAATGTATATGTTTAATTCAAAGCAAGAGGAAAGAATAGTAATTCCAGATAAAAGAATTAGTCTAAAAATAATGGTTCTGGAGGTTATGCCTAACAAACCTTACAAACGGAGGATATGGTGAAAATTGCAACATTCCATCCCAATTTAAGCTGTTTTATTATTTATATTTATAGCAAAGTACCATAATTACTGTGAGTTAACCTGATCATATTTCAAATGTCAGCAGTTGCATCAATCTCTATAAGTTTGATCCAATGAAAGCAGAGTTGCTTTTTTCACAATGAAACCTCAGTGTGAGTAATTTTAACAAAAATGAGTCAGTTTGTACTGAAAAAACAAAGTGATGCTGAGATTTGCATGTCTCTTATGTAGAATTCATTTTAAAAGGAAATATTAGTATTATTCCTTAAAGAAAAAACTCTCTTTATCCTAAATGAATTGCCATATTTCCTCATTCCAGATTTTCTATTTCTTTAATGAATCAGTATTTAAAGAACTGGCAGTAAAATCACTTTCCATAGAAATTGTTTTGGGGAAAGAAATTCTTCATATATCATATAAGTTAAGATAAGCATTTTCAGTAGAGAGCATACTAAGCAAAGTTCCGAGAACTTATATTCTTAAATGCATTCACTGAATAAGATAATCAGTATATAATATTTAATTAGAAAGCAATGTTATGCGTAGAAAGAGTATTGCAATTAAATGTGTGATGAAATGTTTGAAAATAGTTTGTACTTTCATAGTCTTCCATGGGATTGAACAACACTGTGGGTACATCATTATTTTGTGTAAATCAATGAGAGATATTGCTGGTATTTGAGAACAAAGAATATAGTCTTTATTCTGTTCCATGGAGACCGATTTGTAACAGTTATAAAACAGAATTTGAAAATCTATTGAGAGTTGCTGCTTCATCTCTTTTCTGATACAAGATAAGTCCATTACTTAGCCAGTGATAGAATATATCACCTATTCAGTTCAAGCCTCACATCAATTCAGTTTTACTCTGGAGCATGAAAATTTTTCAAATATGTTATAATATTGAGTATATTAATCCAATGTTTGCTGGATAACAGATCTAACTTTCAAGAAAAACCAATTGAGATATATTTGTATGGTTATAGATCATTTTCTCAAACTTTTCCCAATCTGTTTACTATTGGTCCATTAATATTTGTTTATGAGAAACAAATAGTTTTTGTTAGTGTTTTCTTAAATAGGAAAAAAAAATCCTGTCAAAGCATTTTAAAGAAATAAGTAGCAAGACATTCCTTGCCTTCAAATGGATATAAACGATGTAGCATAAAAGGAAAAGGATTTTGGACAAGGCAAACTAAATGTCCCAAAGGTATTTTTTCTGAAGAACTGAAGAACCATCTTGGATGAGAAGTGAAACATTTTCATAGAAAACAAAAAAACAAGAAAGTCCTTTGGAAAAAGCTCTTTTGGGACAACCATGACCTGGATGATTGAGGATCTCCATAGGCATGTGGCAAACTGAATTTTTTTTTTAAAGAAAAATACAGATTTTATAGATACCAACTGGAATAAAAACTGTTCAAGAGAAGGAATCAGTTGTTACTCATGGTATTGTAATCAAAGGAGCGCCTGCTTCCAAATTTTCTGTGTATCTCTTTGAGCCACGAAATATGAATTGCCATGTGAAAACTAAGTTAGAACAATGCTTCATGAAGCTAAAATCGGCAACTGATGGAGTATTGTTACTTCTTTCCTTCTGGGTAATTATTTCTCCCTTTTTATATATAGCTCAAAGGTGTGAACATACCAAATACTCCTTCCTCCTCCTATTTTCCCAACAACACTGCGAGGTGGGTTGGGCTGAGAGAGAATGACTGGTCCAAAATCACCCCGCTGACTCTCCTGCCCAAGGCAGGACTAGAATTCACAGTCTCCTGGTTTTCTAGCCTGGCTAGAAACTGGCTTTTTAATAAAATAATTTGGCCATAAATTTGTTGTTTGTAGAAGCTGCAAACAGGCTTTCTTTTGGGGGTCACTTGATACTGAATTGAATTAGTTCTGTTTGGGGTAACCTCATTTAATTTAGAATTTAAAATTGATTATTTTTAAAAGTAGGAAAATATTAAGGGATAATTATACCCTGGAATCAATTATTTTATACTTAGTTACAGGTTAGTGTCTTTTACAGAGTCATGCAATCTTCCTGACATAATATGAATGTCCCTCGCCATCTATAATGTTTTCCAGTTTTCCAGAGTGATCCACTTCCAAGTATTAATTAGGACCAAATAAATCAATGATGCAATCTTTGATAGGTTTACTTGAACGTAACTTCATAGAACTTTGAATAGTCCATATACTTAGGATTGCCACTTGTGTTCACTTTAAAGAAATATATCATATTTTACAGATGGAAATTTGAGGGTTCCTTAATGAAATCATTTTGATTAAATTTTACAGGCAAATCTTATATTTTAGACCAATTACATAGCTTGAAATCTAGACATCATTCCTAATCCTGCTGAGTAATTGGTTTATGCATGACAAAAAAATTCATTTTCTTATATGTCAAACCAATAAAAAAATACCACTTGGAATATTACTGTCTAATTGGTAGCTAAAAATATTCATTTCCCATTGTAACATGTGATGTTCTGTTATGTGGATTGTTTGAATGAAAGCCACTGAAAAAAAATGAGGCCATTACATTTTATGAACTGTTACAATATAATAATTGTAACATATATGCTTAATGGTGGCAGCTTGGTAAAT